CGCCCCTTCTGCTGTGGGATGGGGGGGAGAGTCCTTGTTTGTTTACTTCTGTACATTCCCATCACTCCAATAAAAAATTCCTCATTCCCTTCTGCAGTCAAGCCCGGGCCAACACGGATACAATGGTTTTGCAGGTTGTAGAATTTCACGTAGAGAGTCTTGCATCTGTGGCCTCTGGAGGTGGGGACCGTGTCCCTGGCCCAGCCATCTGTTGGCACATCCAGTTGGCTTCCTTTCATAGGTGCGTGGCCAGACTAGCATTTACTTATCTGCTCACCTGTGGGTCGACATTCCGGGTGGATTCAGCTGGAGACCGTCGTGGATGAAGATGCCACAAACATGCGCGCACATGTCGCCTTCGCAGCCCTCTGCTTCCCTTTCTCTTGAAGCACTGGGCCACCGGGCAACAGACGGCTAACTTTGGAGGCACAACCCCCCATGACGGGTTAAAGTCCCATCCGCTGTGCTCCTGGCCCTACTCCACATGCCATCCTTTTGCTTGTAGCCACCTTAGTGGCCATACTGTGGCTTCCTGTGGGCTTTAAAAAATGGAGCTATTCATATACCTCCATATCCACCTTTTCAAAGCACACAATTCTGTGGATTTTAGTATTACATTAAAATCTGATATCTCTGCTATGTGATTTCAGAACATTTTCATCACTCCAAAGAGAAGCTTGTAGGGCACATGAAGGTGGTGAGGCTTTTTACACCACTGGCCTCTGTGGCATCACCTGTGGCCTTGATCGCGTTAACATAGAGGGCGCGTGGGTGTGGGGCACGCGTGCCTGAGTGTGGTCACCTGAGCGTGGGTGTGTGCAAGTGTGCACACCTGCGCCCCAGAGGAGGGGATAAAAGGGCAGTGTCACCCTGGGGAGGGGCTCACATTGCTGCCTGCCAGCCGGCTGGTTTCCCCTGCTTACCAGTCAAACCTGTAAAAATGATGGCAAGGGCTCCCAAATTCTAAGAGTGAGTACATGGGAATGAATTCTCTACGGCCACGGTCACCAGCCTCCACCATCACCTCCAAGTCCATCCTCACCACCACCACCACCACAGGGAAATGGAGTGATATCAGGCCTTTCCCGCCTTCCTATGCTGGCCTCTACGGCCGGCACCTGCGGCCTGGCCCGCCTCCTCCGTGGCGTTACCCGCCTGGGCACCTGGGCCGAGAGGCATGGGCACCGAGCTCACACACTGTGATTATGAACACCTGGGTCAGAGAGCACCGGGGTGAAGGGGCTTCTCAGCTCTGGTCTTCGGGGGGTGGCATGGCTCTGAGGCTGGGGCTGTTGCTGTCTCCCTGCTACCGGTCGGTCCCCTGAATCAGCATTTAAGGCTCCAAAGTTCTCCTTCCATCTGCAAGAACCGACCCCGAGCAGCCCCGGCCTGGCAATCACCACCGCCATCATCCTCAGTCCCCAGAGTCGGCCCTGCCCTTTCACAAGGGATGTAGCTGCCTCGCGAGGCCCTAGACTAGTGCCGAGGTCTCCGTCTTCTGCTCCCCCTGATGTCCTCGCATCTTCCTCCTTTGAACTCCAGGTTCTGGGCTCTGGTTAGCAGCCTTTGCTGCCAGGGCAGCCCCAGCTTCTGTTTCTCGTTACCAGTTTCCCTTTTGATTTCAGTTCATGGGCTCTTCCTGTGGAACTTTCCAGGGTTTCACGCACCATCCTGTGAGCTCAGCAAGGCACACCCAGTGCTTGTAATTTCTCCAGGGTCTGGCTGAGTCAAGCAGGTGGGATTTTTAGGGTCTTCAGTCGGCATGCAGCCCGTCCCACGGGACGCTGGTCTCCTCCGCCTTGGAGTCCCTGTCTGTGAAACGGGGGCAGTAACCCCGGCCTCGGGATTGCCCCGCGGCACCCGGATGGAATGGAATGTGCTCAGGGCGCAGGCTCCCAGCCCAGAGCCCCGCTGTGATGCAGGAGGAAGATCAGAGAAGGCTGAGGCCCTGTCCGTCCACCTCCCGCAAACCTGTTGTCTAAATAAGACCCGCTGCCCGGGACAGAGGGCCCCTCACCCCCAGGGAGCAGGGTGCGGGAGCCCAGTCGGGGAGAGGCGAGGCTGCCCTCCCCCCACACCACGCAGCCCTAAGACTACCGGCTTCTTCTCCGAGCCCCATCTGTGTCACCCAGGGAAGAGGGTGTAGACCCGGGAAGGCAGCTCTAGGGCGTCTCCACGTCCGCAAGGACGTTCTGCGTGGCCTCCACACGGCAACCACGGAGCCTGAAGCTGGCTCTGGAAATATCGTTCCAGCCAAACAGCCGCCGAGCCCAGGGGCGCCGTGAACCCTTCGGGCAGGCTCTGGCTACGCCTCCAGTTTCCCGTTTGCTCCCTGTTATTCCCGACTCAGAACAAAGGCGCTCATCTTTATCTTTCCCTTCCTAGATACTTTACTTTTTAAAAAAATTAGTAAACTTTTAGAGAAGTGATAGGTTTGCAAGAAAATGGAGCAGAGAGCAGCGCCACCTTCCCCCTGCCCCCTCAGCTCCCCTTGTCACGGCTGAGGGTCAACACCGCCGTGTCAGTGTTAACTAAAGCGGTTTAAGGTGGCCTGCTCAGGGCGCCCTCCTGAGACTGCGTTCGGCCGCTTGGACACTAACGAGGTGTCATAGAGGGTCACCGCAGTTTTCTCTGCCTGTTCACCCCTCCCGCGCCCAGCCCAGGCCACCCCGATCTTTGCAGGGTGCACATAGCTCTGCCTTTCCAGAGGGGCATGAGGGGAACTGCACACGCAGCCTTCGCAGCCTGCCTTCTGAAGCCCCCCTGTGCCCCTCGTAGCCTCACAGCCCATTTCTCCTTAGCCCTGAGGGCACCCCATTGTATGGCCCCCTCCTTTGTTCATCTGCCAATGGCTCCTCGGTGGTTCCAGGTCTTGGCAATGACCGATAAAGTTGCTGTCAACCTCCGTGTGCAAGTTCGCGTGGACACAAGTTTTCAGGATATTTGGGCAAATTCAAATGACTTGACTCCTATTATTTTCAACTTTGCTGTTAAAAATAACAGCGAGGGCCTCCCCGGTGGCGCAGCGGTTGAGCGCTGGGTTGCGAAGCTGCCCGCAGCCTCTGCAGTAATGGTTCGATCCCCGGCTGCTCCCCGGCCACCGGAGGAGGGTCCCACAGGGCGCGCAGACCTCTCCTGCCGCCCGCTGCTCCCCTCAGCAGTGTCCTTCGGTCCTTCTGCCTGCTCTGCTCCCCGCTCCGGCTCTGGTGAATTCTCTCACCCTCCCGCGCTTCTGACTGTGCCCAGTGCATGTATAAATAAATAAACAAATAAATCTTTAAAAAATAAATATTCTTAAAAAAAAATAACAGCGACGTTGTTCTTTTGATGCGTCTTTTGTTTTAGATGTGTCCTTTGTACGCAGCGGGCTACCGGGACGGAGAGAAGCCAGTCTGGGAAGAGACGGGCAAAGAAGCAAAGCCAGCAAGCCCCGGAGCCTGGGCAGGGGTGTCTGGGTGGACACCGTCCATTCTTTCCTTTTTCCTGTTCAAGATTTTTCATAGTAAAGGGTTGGGAGGAAAGATGGAAAACAAAACAGAACCTTCTGGAATGTGTGTGTGTGTGTGTGTGTGTGTGTGTGTGTGTGTGTGTGAAATGGCGTTCAGAGGAGAGGAAAGGGGTGGACCCCATGCCTGGACCCTGGACACTTCCTGCTGGGGGTAAAGCTCGTGTCCTCTCCGCAGACCGGCCATCACAGCACCCAGGGGTGTCATGGGGGCCGCGGCCTGGCCCAGGGGGCTGGTTACTCCATAACCAGGTTGGTTTCTCCTCCCCGGAAACCACCAGAAGGTGCGCTGCTGCTGGCCGCCAGCAGAGGGCGCGCCTAAAGCCAGCCTGCCCTGCCATGTGGAGCCTGGCCTGCCTTCTGGAATGTGTTGGTAAGATGCAAAGTTCAGGTCTGCGGGGAGCCTTTCCCGGACTCCAGGCAGGTAGACACGGTGTTGATGCCTCTGAGCACCGTCTCCCTGCCCCTCTGGGCCACCCACGCAGCTTTGCAAGGGGACCTGCCTGGTACGAGCTGCTCGCACAGGCTGCAGGGGAGGGAGTTAAGTCAGACTTTCTTCCGCCCTCCTGCCCACCGCTGGCCTCTACGGCTGACCTCCAGGTTGCGTTACCTGCATGGGCACCCGGGCTGAGGGATGCGGGTGCGGGGCACGCACCTGCAATTGCGGACACTTGGGCCGGAGAGCACAGAAGCATATAAACACCGACACCTGTGCCCAGAGGGGAGGGCTGAAAGCACAGGAGACTGAGACCACAGGAGACTGAGAGGGGAGTGTGGGGGAAGGGAGGGAAGAAGGGGAGAGAACAAGTGGACACTAAGATCCTGGGGGGCTGGGGTTGGGGGGCTGGGCAGCTCGGCGCTTGCCTGCCTGCAGGCCTCAACAAGGGCCCCCGCACTGAAGAGCACTCAGGGTGCCCTGGGTGAGCCCAGCCACCTCCATCTCTCTCTCCTGGCCCAAACGTGGGAGGCATGGGTGCAGATCAAACACCCTGGGTCTTGGAGCATGAAGGCAGAGCGGGAGGAGCGTCCCTGCACCCCAAGATGAGGGCTGGCAGAGCCTCCCCGGCGGGAGCACCGGGCCCTGCAGCACAGCCGGCTTTTCCAGGAACCAGGCACCAACTGTGGCTGTGCCGCGGCCACTCGCGCTCTGGGTCTCCGACACCTGGGGCCAAGAGGGCGGAGGGGCTGCGGGGCAGGCTCCGGGGACTCCCCCAGTCACTGACCACACCTGTAGCTCAGGCTCCTCAGCTGAAGCCCGTGGGGAGCAAGGATGCCCGTGGGGAGCGAGGACACCCACGGGCGCAGGGCAGGGAGCTCACGGCCATTCTCAGAGCACTGACCCCAGTCCAGGGAGCTCACTGGCCACTCCGGGTCTGCTCTAGCAGGGCAGTGGCCCCAGAGTGGCCCCAGAGACGCCCGCTGAGCCGAGTGACTCAGGAACCCAGCCTCTCGCAGGCCCAGCAGCGGGCAAGGAAGTCACAGGACACTCCCGAAACAGCGCGGTTCCTTTTAATCAGGCCTTCGGAGGCCGCCGCCCCGCATGACGCAGAGGGCCAGGACGGCGGCGGCGGTCACTAGCGGCTTACTGTGTTAAACTGTGAGAAATAATCCTCAGTGTGATAATTTGTAAAGGCTTCCTTCATAGACAGTTTCCTGAGAAGAAACAAAAGAAAAAATCGGGACGGCATGACGTCCGAGGCATTCTACCTTTAAGAAACACAGAGCCGGGCCTCCCTGGTGGCGCAGCGGGTTCAGCGCAGCGCTGTGGAGCTGTCCGCAGCCTCTGCAGTGCCGGTTTCGATCCCCGCCGGCCACAGAGCTACCCCATGGCGCGGCAGACCTCTCCTGTCTCCCCGCCCCACCCTGCCGGCCGGCACTCACTGCAGATGCTGCTCCTGGGCTAGGCTGAGGTTGCTGCAGTCCAGTGCCCGGCGCCGCTCGCGCTGCTCACGCTGCTGCTGGCGCTGGAGCAGCAGGGCCTCGCGGGCGTCCTGGACCCTGTGCAGGTCCCAGGCCCTGTCGCGCTGGCGCTCTTCTTCCTGCAGCCGCTGCGGGGAGGACAGCGACTCACCACCACTCGCCCAGCCATAAAGAGCCCCGAGGATCCTCTAGTACTGCCTCTCTAGTGCTGAGTTTGACAGATGGGGAAACTGAGGCTGGGGGGGGCAGGTAGATGAGCAAGGCCACTCAAGAAATCAGAGGACACCCCACCGGCCCTCACTCCCCACCCCTAGGAGGCGCCAAGCCACCGTCTGAGGCTGGAGGGACCGCAGGGACTAGGTGCCAGCAGCAGCAGCAGCTCCCTGCCCGGCCCTGATGCTGGGCCTGTGTGTCTGCCGTGCGCTCCAGCTGGCGTGGCCCTGGGACCCCGGTGGCTTCTGGAACAAACAGAGGCCAAAGCCACCCCCGAGCTCATGATCAGGGCCGGCCCCCCACATGTGTGCAGCCCACTCAGGCCCACACCTCCCGGGGCCTGCCCAGCTTCTCGTCTCAGGTACCACAAAGGCGAGGTCTCCGAGGGCGGCCAGGGCCTGGACCTGCCACTGCTGGCCTCCTCACGCCACTGTGCTTCCCCGATCAGGTCAGGCTGCCCTGTCTCAAGCCTTTGCCCTGGCAGCTCGCCTGCCTGCCCGGCCCCCACGTCCTCCCCAGGGCTCCTCCTCCCCTCCTCCACCTCCCCGTTCCCTGACGGCCCCTCACCAGAAGGCCACTCGGCCCCTCACCCTCCCACAGGCTCGCTGGGCCCCCGTCTTAACTAGAGCCGTGACTGGGGGGAGCAGGGGGGGATGTGCCGCACCAGCTTCTCCTGGACTTGCTGCTTCTGAGCCAGGCGGATCTGCCCCAGCTGCTCCTGGCTCATGCCCTTCCAGCGGCCAGGCACCACGCGGTGGGGCCCCAGGGCACTGGCCGCCTGCTGCGGGTTCTCGGACAGCAGGTCCCCGTGCAGGAGGTTGGTGATCTCCGCCAGGTTGTCCTCTTGTTCCTGTTTCCTCTCTTGGATCCTCCTCTCTGCCGACTCTGCGGCCTAGACACAGGGCAGGGACTGGATGGCCGGCCCGGGGCCTGGGGGCGCAGGCTGGCGAAGCGCCCTCTCACCCGGGCCCCTGAAGAAAGAACGCTGCCGTGGCAGCAGGGCCGGGCCAGCGGCGGTGGGGGCCAGGCTTGGATACAGGGCCGCCCAGATGGGTGTGGGCCGCGGGGGCGCTGACACCACAGTGGGGCGGTGGAGCAGCCAGTCTTGTCTGCCCTGACCCCCACCCCAGGGAGCCGCCACCTCCCCTCGCTCAGCCCCACCCGCCCTGGCAGGGCTCCGTGCCCCGAAGCCCAGAGCACACCCAGCAGCGGTGCTTCCCGCACAGACTCTCCAGCCCAGGACCGCGAACTCCCAGGTCAAATCTCTGCTGAGGGGCGGGGGGCCGGGGCGGGGGTGGCCAAGGCCCTGGCCGCCGCGGCAGGAGCCGGAGGCCCGCCCTGGGCTCCGTAAGGACAGCGGGGCCTGCAGCTCTCTTCGCCGCGACCTGACAGGCGCTTGCCAGGCACCTGCCCCCGCAGGAGACACGCAGGCTGGGGGGGGCCCAGTTCAAGCGCTGCGCCGGCAGGGCCGGGGGGGCCAGGACGGGCACTTGCGGAAGCAAATCAGTCACATGGGGGCGTCCCTGTGAAGTCGGGTCCCCCGTCCCCCTCCGAGCCGGCCTTTGTCTGCTGAATCGGGCGAGGGGGGCCCCTCGGGGGCGACAGTTAACCGCCAGTTAACACCAGAGACTACGGGAGCAGCCAGTTCTTGCGAGGACAGAAACCGTGGCTGAGGAGCCCGTGACGGGCCCACTGCTCGCCCAGGCGCCCCGTGGGGCCCGGCACCCCCGGTGGCCCTCCCGGCGCGGGCGGCAGCCTGGCGCGGGCGCTCAGGGGCCAGCGTTCTGCCCGGGCACTTCCTGTCCCCGCAGGGCGGGCAGTGGGGGGCCACTTTGACCGAGGAAGGCGAGGTGACCGGGGACTCGGAGGCGGCGGCGGCTGGCCCCGGGTACCTGGCTCCTGTTGAATTCCTTCACAGCCGCACACACCGCCCGTCTGGAGGCGCCATCCAGGGCCTGCAGGTGCCGGGCTGTTGCGTCGAACTGCAGCCTCGTCTCGGCGTACAGGTCCTCTGGAAGGAAGCAGAGCAGCAAGCAGCTGCCTGGGGCCTTCCCGGGTCGGCGCCGGTGCCTGGCCACGCGCCCCTTCCCCCTCCGCGGCTGCTGGGAGACTGCGGTCCACCAGGGAGGCCGCGGGGCCGCCCGAGAGTGGGTCATCGCCGCTCCCACGTCTGTGGCGGGTTTCGAGGTGCAGACGGTGTATTAGAGGAGAGAGGTCAAGAGAACACCCTCGTGACGGCCGCCTGAAAAAGGATGACGCGCCGGGGAAACTCAGCGGAGGGGAAGAACCTGGACGCCCAAAACGAGGCGCCGCCGACACGAGAGACCGCGGGGGCGCAAAGGCGCCGTGGGCGGAAGAACAGGGTCCCCGAGACGCCGTCTTGCCCACAGCAAGGGACGGGCCCACGGCCACGCCCGTCAAGATCCCGATGACCTTTTCCAACAAAGCAGAACCAACAGCCCGCGCTCCGGGCAGCGTCGTTCGCAGCAGCCCCGGCCGGGAGCCCGTGAGCCCGCCGGCCGGGGAAAGGCTCTCGAGAAGGACGGAGCTGTGCCTTTGGGAAAAGACGGTGGAACTTGAGGTGATGATGCCAAGAGGAATCATTCAGAAAGTTAAAGACAACAATACAACCAAAATAGTATGGTGTGGGCCAGAGCGAGGGGCTGCGGAGAGGGGGCAGCGGCACCTTCGTTAGACCCGCGGGCGGAGAGGGCCCCGGCAGCCTCCGGACCCAGGGGTCTGCACTCGAAGAGGGCGCGGGCTGGAGCCATGCCGCTGGGCAGTGCCGGCCTCCGGGTGGTGCTTCGGTCGGCGAGACCAGGGGAGTGACCAGCGGAGTGACCAGCGGAGAGGGGAGAGGGGAGCCCGCTGAGCTGGGTCCAGGACCTGAGCAGCAACGCCGAGGGTCAGAAGGTGCTGAGAAACCATCAAAGGGGTCCGGAAGGAAGAGTGCGGGGGTGCGAGTGATGTGGGGGAACCCAGAGGAAGGGGTTTCAGGAAAAGCAGAGACCACGGGTTGTCACGGGCTGCCAGGGAGCAGGTGGAGCCGGAAAACCCACCTCAGCAAGCGGGCGACACCGAGTCACTGGCGATGTGGACCGGGCATTTCTGAGAAGTGTGGGGTGAAGGCAGGCATGGCCAAGGGCGGGCTCAGAGGGGATCAGGGGTGGGGATTTGGGGCGACCGCTCCTGGAGAGGAGAGAGACGCCTGGGAGGAGCGCGGGCCGACCAACCGACAGCAAAGCAACAGCCAGAGGAGGGGTCCGCGGGGTGCAGGCACATGCCCCCTTCGCACATCCCTGGCCAGTCGCCCTTCCTTATCCTGTGATGGCCGGCCTGGGCAGCAGCGTGGGGACGGCACCTTCCCAGCCCAGGAAGTGGACAGGAGAACCCCGGGGGGCACGCTGCAGAGGGATTGTGACACAGAAACGGGGTGACCACGCGTGCGACAGCAGAGGGACTGTGAGGCTTGATGCGTGGCCCCCAGGAGAGAGGCTGTTGCAGGCCTCGTAGCCCTTTCCCGGCAGAGTCCCTGGGCCTGGAGAGTCCCGCTGAGGATGTGTGGCCACCGGCCTTTGGCTGCGCCCCCAAGAGACCCCGTAGGGACGTCTAGCACAGAAGTTGGCCGGACCTATTACTTCCTATCATCTTCCCAGCAGACTGTGAACCCCCCGGGGCGGGGGCCTACGAGCCACACCCCCAGCCGGAGCGCGGACACAGCCCCGACTCCCAAAACGTTTCCTGCAGGACTGATGTGAGGCTGAAAATGTTTACATCCTGAAACGCCAGCTCAGATGTCTCTTCCCCCCCACCCCCGTGGGCAAATTATGGCACATGAAGGGCAGTCAGGGGAACAAAACAAGAGAAAAAGAGGGGTGCGGTCTGCGGAAGAAAGCACGGACAGCAGCTGCCTGATTTGCTTTATTACCTGCACATTTTTGGTCGGCTCGGGCGTCCCTCCACTCCCGTTGCTGTTGCAAGGACCATTCTCTATTTTGTTCCTCCTGGAATCTCTTCCTCTCTTGGCAGTTTAAATCCTCTCCCATGAATTTCTGCATCCCCGAGATTGTATTCCGAACATCGTTATCTGACTGCCGGGCTGGAAGATCTTTCTTAAGGGCTAGGGGGTCGGACAGATCGAATTCACGGCGGGTCTCTGGCCGCTGAAAGCTCTGCTGGAAGTCACAGAGGGCCTTACAGAAGTTTCTCCTGTCTCTCCTCTCCCGGGCTTCCAGTAGGCACGTGATTTTGTCATTTTGTCTCATCTCAGCAGCTAGAAGAGCCGTGGCATAGAAATAAGCTTAAGATTCAGAGGCAAAAATAAATTTGAACCCACTTAAAGTAAATAATTTGAGTGGTTGTAAAAGTAACACAACCCTCCCAAAAGGCCCTTAGAATCCTGAATATGCAAAGAGTAAACTACAAATCAATGTTACAAAGAAGCCAACCCAATTATAGGCAAATCGGTTTGAAAAATAAACTTCAATTATAATTCCCCCACTCCAACATTGCCACTCCCAACATTTTCACATATTGTCTTTCCATCTTTTTCTATGCATATGTTTAATGTTTTTTTTAAAGTTAATTCATAATTTGCTGCTTATACAATTTTGTACCCTTTTTTTAATATAAAAATCCTTATTATGTTTAAAAAAAACCAAAACAACACTGGGGCCTCCCTGGTGGTGCAAGGGGTTAAGTCTCAGCACTGAAGCTGTCCGCAGTCACTAAAACACGGGTTCCATCCCCAGCCAGGGAGCAACCCACATGGCGCAGCAGACCTCTCCTGTCTGCCCGCTGCTCCCCTCAGCAGTGGATTCCAGTGGATCCGCCTGTTCTGCTCCCCACTCTGTCTCTGGTGAATCCTCTCACCCCCGCACCTCTGGCCTGCACCCCAGTTCTTGGATGCACAAATACAATAAATCTTTAAAAAAATAAACTGGAGGGTCTCCCCAGTGGCGCAGTGGTTGAGCACTGGGTTGCGAGGCTGCCCGCAGCCTCTGCAGCGCTGGTTCGATCCCCAGCTGCTCCCCGACCTCCGGAGGAGGGTCCCACATGGCGTGCAGACCTCTCCTGCCGCCCGCTGCTCCCCTCAGCAGTGTCCTTCGGTCCTTCTGCCTGCTCTGCTCCCCGCTCTGGCTCTGGTGAATTCTCTCACCCTCCCACACTTCTGACTGTACCCAGTGCTTGTATAAATAAATAAATAAATAAATAAATAAATAAATCTTTAAAAAAAAAATAAAATAAACTGGAACTGTTGGACATGATATGGGAAAATGAACTCTATTTGAAAACTTCACCTATAGCTAGAACACCACTATCTAAACCATATGTAACCCTGAACCAGCGCAGGTGTGCGTTCAGCCATGATTGTGTCCACCAGTGTGAGCATCTGTCCTGGGAAGGTCTTGAATTTTTTGGAAGTCTGTGTACATGCGGACAGGTGTTTGTCACACCCAGCTTTTTATGAAAACAGAAAATCTTACATTTATCCTTAACATATTTCCTACAACCCACTTAGAATTCAATGGCTGTTTTCTTTTAAGAGAGGAAAAATCTATACATCAAGTTAATTGAGCACAAAAAATTGTGAACTTTTGAAAGGAAGCAGATTGTGAGAACAGGCTTTTATATATGCGAAGAAATGAGGCCTGAATGCTAAATTCCCACGGCCCTCATCTAAAGGCACACAGCTCTAAGCCACTGGACAGACACTCACCAAAGGTTTCGTGTCTAGCTTTTTCAGTTGCTTCTCTTATCTTCTGGTCACGAACCTGAGCATTCCAGGCCGGGGTGTCCCCCTGGGAATGGAAAACAGGGGGGGAGGAATTAAGAGTCAGATCATTTTATTCAGCTGTTAGCAACCCTGTTTATCTATTTCAGCCTTGCCCTACTGCTAAGTTGTCTTCTGTCCATTACAGGCCTTTTCATACTTGGATGCCTCTGTTTGTGGCTGGTTCTCTGGCCTGTTAACTTTCCGCAGGACTTGCCTCCCGTTCTCTTAATTGACAGATCCTCCTATGAGACCATTGCTTAGACATCACCTCCGCCTCCGGGAAGCCCTCCCTGAGTGCACTCTCCCTGCCCAGCCCCAGCCTGGGCTCCCCTCCCTAACAGCACTGATTCCAAGCACTTAATGAGCCCATTCCAATGCTGCCTCTTCGGCCGAGCCAAGAACTCCTCAAGCCCAGGGGCCTCTTACTTCTCATCCGCCGGCCGGCTCCGGTTTGCCCAAATAGGAACTCCAGGGGCAACTGTCACGTGGATGGGCAGCCGGGAGCTGCCCGGAGTAGACGGTCCAGGCAGCCCCGTGTGTTTCGCACGCCCCCTCCCTGCCGCTCCCCGCTCCCCTCGCACCCCCCGGGGCCCCTCTCCCGGCCTGAGGGAGTCACCCCGATGAGCCTGTTCCTGGCGTTAAAGATCCGTTTCTGCCGGCACAGCTCCGCGTGCCTCCGCCTGGCCTGGCTGAAGTGCTGCTGCAGGTCCTTGGGCTGCGCCGCCTCCATGGCCGGGCTCGCAGGGCCGCCAAGGGCCTCCGCGCGAGGGGAGAAGGCAGACCGCGGGGAAGGGCAGCGGCGGGCGGCGGCGGGCCTCCCAGCGGCGCCCCGGCCTCGCGGCCTTCGCGCTCCCAGCGGCGTCGCGGCCGGGTTTCCTGGGAGACGTCAACAACTCCGGTTGCTAGGGAACGGCGCGCGGGGGCGGGGAGCGCGCTCGCTCCGCTCTCGCGAGACTCGGCGCCGCCGTTCCCGCGCTTTTCCCGCCCGGCGAGGACGCGAGGCGCGCCATGGGCCGCCTGGAGCTGCTGCTCGTGGAGAACTTCAAGTCGTGGCGCGGCCGCCAGGTCATCGGCCCGTTCCGGCGCTTCACCTGCATCATCGGCCCCAACGGCTCCGGTAACGGCCGGCGCCGCCCTCCGCCCAGCCGCCGTCCTGAGGGGCCCGCGGGCGGCCGCTGGGCCCAGACGCCGCGGCCTCGACGGCGGCCTCCGCCCGCCCCGGCCTCCCACGGGGCCCCGCACCCCCATCCCCGCACCCCCGCACCCCGCCACCCCGCACACCCCCCGCTGGGGACCCCGCCCTCGGGCCCACGCCCGGCCCTGACCCCCGGCCTCCGGCCCGACCCCGACACCTCACCCCGGTGGGGACCCCGCCCTCGGGCCCACGCCCGGCCCCTGACCCCCGGCCCGACCCCGACACCCCCTGACACCCCCGACACCTCCTAGAGACGCCGCGGCCTCGACGGCGGCCTCCGCCCGCCCCGGCCTCCCGCGGGGCCCCGCACCCCCACCCCCGACACCCCCGCACCCCGCCACCCCGCACACCCCCCGCTGGGGACCCCGCCCTCGGGCCCACGCCCGACCCCGACACCTCACCCCGGTGGGGACCCCGCCCTCGGGCCCACGCCCGGCCTCTGACCCCCGGCCTCCGGCCCCGACACCCCCCCCGCGGCGCCCCGAGCCCACTCCCCCCCCCTCCGCCCGCCCGCCTCGGCTCGCCCGCCGCCGCCGCCCGCGCGGGGTCCCGGCCCGGGAAGCCGTGCGCCGTGGGGGTGTCCGGGCTTCCTCCGGGCCGGGCGCGGGGCCGCGGGGCGGCCGTTGGGCTGACCGCGGGGCGGGGCGGGGCGGGGGCGCCGCCCGCGCAGCTGCAGCCCCTGCGCCGCCGTCTCGGGGCTGAAGACCGGCTCTTTCCACGCGAGGCGAGGCGCGGGCCGGGGCACAGCAGGCGGCGCGGGAGGGGAGCCGGGAGGGGGCGCCGCGCTCGGGCGCTCTTGCCGCGGGGTGGGGGGGCGCTTAACTTTTGACCCCAAAATCTTAACAAAACTTGCGCTGACCGGAAGCCTTGCGGCCGCCACAGCCGCTGCAGAGCGCGGGGGCGCGTGTGGGTGCGGGGGCGCCTGCGCGTGTGTGTGTGGGGGGTGCATGCGCGCGCCCCTCCACGAAGTCCGCTGGAGAAAAGATGACAATCATCAGGGAGAGAGAAGGCATTTATGGCGCCGGCTGTCGGGCGGCGCGCGCGAACGCGAGTCCACTGGCGGGGCCCTGTGCCGGGCGCGCTCTGCCGGGGCCCTGTGCGGGGCGCGCTCTGCCGGGGGCCCTGTGCCGGGGCGCGCTCTGTCGGGGGCCCTGTGCCGGGCGCTCTCTGCCGGGGGCCCTGTGCCGGGCGCGCTCTGCGGGGCGCACGGAGACGGCTGTGCTTCCCTGAAGGGCCGCCGGCGTGTCCCCGCTGGTCCCTTTGGCCGCGGCGCTCTGGCATGTGCCAAACAAGTTTCGGAACCTTATTTCTTTACTTGGTTGAAAGACACGGATGATGATTAATAACAAGCCTGAAAGCTGTCGTGGAAATCCCTGTGCAAGCCTCGCGCCCCTGCCTGCACCCGCCCGGCCGGCGCCGCTCCCTGAGCCGCGGCCCGCGAGGCCATGCTCGCCGCGCAGAAGCCGCCGGCTGTCCGGAGCCCGGCGCGCCTTCCCCGCCCTCTCTCCGTGGCAGGGGTTCGGGTCCCTCCGTGACTTCCCCGCCTGCCCCTTTCCACTGTCTGGAGGCCGACGGTCAGCGCGGCGTTGGCCCGCCGATGGGACGCGACGCCTCCGCGCATCTGAGCGCCGGGTTCCCGGGCGGTCCTCGCGCCCCTGCCGGCGCGTGCGCGCGGACACGGCCGGGTCGCTGGAAGACTTTGTCTCGGTCCTTTCCTGCTGCGTTTTAGTCGAATGGGTCATACATTTAGTAATGATTTCCTGTGGTCACCGCCTGCCCGAACTTGATAGGTGCTTGTTTGTTTTTAGTAAACCTAATTGTGGGATTTTTGTGGCTAGCAGAAAAATTTCATTTTTAATCTTAACCTTCATGCTTTCTACTCAGATTCAGCAACTAGCTATTGCATATATATAATTGGAGTAAAAGATGTGCAGAAAGACACAACTTCTGCCCCGAAGTGCAGAAAATTACAGGAATTGAAACAGAAGGCCAGATGACACTTTTTAGGAAACTTTAAACAAGCTAAATACTTACCTGATTTGGGAGAAATCAGGAAGAGTTGAAGTTTCCTGGAGGAGCTGGCATTTGAGTCGGGATCAAAAGAATAGAGATTATTTTTCCATGGGTCTGTGAAAGTGTTTGTGGCCCAGCAGCCCAGGAGTCCAGAATGTGTTGCTTGTATAGGCAGGTGGTGGGACAAAGCGTCTGGTGCTGTTGGGTCAGGCCTGGCCAGCTGTGTGACTGCTCTGCGTCATCCTCTTACACCAGTCTGCCGTGTTCTGGCAGCCTTCGTCTAACCCTCGAGGGACAGCCGCCTGTGCGTGTTAGCCTATATCTAGGTTAATATTTATAAAATAGGCATAACTAAGGTCCAGAGAAGTTAGATGATTTGCCATGGTATAATACTTCATCGTGGGCGGGAGTTGGACTTCGATCCTTAGATGTTACCATAGCTGAGTAGAAGAAACCAGTAATCTCTAAAACTGTTCAGTCGCGTGCTTTAAATATAGACAAGGCGGGACTGCTTAGTGTGTATTACCTATGTTTCGCTTCCATTCTTAACCTGTTTGGGGGTTTTTTGGGCTCTGGACAAGGTTATTCTAATCATTAACAATGTATGACTGCTCAGAATGTGCCCTTCATCCAGTGATAGGGGGCGTAATGGTGATGACTCCCGGCAGGACTTGCTTGTGCTGTTGTGAACGCCCAGAAGTCCTGGCAGATCAGAGTCTCTGGTCTTACCCAGCTTCAAATTCCTGACAAGATATGACCCTTTCCCCTTCAAATAAGTGTATTGGTGGTGAATAAAAAATAAGCAAATCGACCAAATGAATATGAATACATTTAAATTTTTTAAAAAATGAATAGTTTTTTCTCTTCCCTTCCCCAGGAAAATCTAATGTTATGGATGCACTTAGTTTTGTAATGGGAGAAAAAACAGCTAATTTGAGAGTGAAAACTGTTCAAGAACTTATTCACGGAGCACATGTCGGGAGACCTGTTTCTTCTTCAGCAAGTGTAAGAATTGTGTACATAGAGGAAAATGGAGAAGAGAAAACATTTGCAAGGATTATCCGAGGTATTTTCTCATGGATGAGTCATTTGAATTTTCAAGAGTTAAGTCAGATCATCTGCTTTTCTTTCTTTGAAGGGTGTGATTTATTATTCCACTGGCATAGTGAATTGTAGAAATTCTTTTTTTTATTCTTTACAGTTCCAAACCTCAGAATCAAGCAGTAGAATCGGTTTGATTGTCCACTGGGACTCTTTGTTAAGCAGTTACAATTTTATGTACATATCTCATTTTTGTCTAGATTTAGGGCTAGCATATAAGCTCCTTGTGATCAGGCTGTATTGTTCATTGCTGTAGAAATTGTATGGAAGACACTCAATAGTTGATGGCTAAATGCATTTATTAACGTGTGTGTTATTGCATAACTGGTCCTTTCTGTAAGAAACAATTTTATCAGGTTTTCCACCGTTGTGGCTATATCGGCCTTTATGCCTTTATTTTAGGGGGATGCTCGGAGTTTCGTTTTGGTGACAACCCTGTGAGTCGTTCTGCTTACATAGCGGAGTTGGAGAAGATAGGCATAATAGCCAAAGCACGCAACTGTCTTGTTTTTCAAGTAAGTAGCTATGAGAATGTATTGGTTCATGATTTGAAAATACATCATGTTTTATGTTTTGTGCTTTACTGTTTTTAAAAGGGAACTGTAGAGTCAATTTCAATGAAAAAACCCAAAGAAAGAACCCAGTTTTTTGAGGAAATTAGCACTTCTGGAGAACTTATAGGAGAATATGAAGAAAAGAAAAAAAAATTACAAAAAGCTGAAGAAGATGCACAGTTTAATTTCAATAAGAAAAAAAATGTAGCTGCGGAGCGCAAACATGCAAAATTAGAGAAAGAAGAGGTAGGTATCCTGGAGGTGTGCCCAGTTAATTTGTGGGGCCCCTAGACGCTCTGTGTCAGAACTGCTAGGTACAGCGGTTACCAAAAACTCATCATAATATAAGGAAAAGTATATTTTAATGATCACTGTAAAAATGACAATATAAGTGCTTTACATGTTAGCATAAATGACATTTTTATGAAAAATAACTGCATTTTCTTAAAAAAAAAAAAGAAATTTTAGGAGGGTAGCTTTCTTTCATATAGTTATACTGGTACCTGGCTTAATAGGACACAAATTGTCTTGTCTGCTTCTGTATTAAATCTTCTTTACGCTAAGACCTAACAGTCTTACCTGCCATTGATGTCTGCACCATCGGTGCAGATGACAATACAATGGGGAGGACAACAAGTCTTCGTATTTCTAAGAAATAGTTTTGACTTCGGAGGCTCCCCGGGAGTCCTGGGTAGCCCTGGAGGGTACGGCCACACGTTGCAGATGGTGTCTGTGGTGTTCCTTGGCGCCCTTCACAGCACTGAGTACAGTGCCTGGTGTGTGGTGGCTGCTGTTGTTGCTGCGTTCAGAGTGATCTTTTTCTTTTTTTTTTTTTTAAGATTTATTTATTTACTTATTTATACAAGCACTGGGTACAGTCAGAAGCGCGGGAGGGTGAAAGCATTCACCAGAGCCAGAGCGGGGAGCAGA